CCAGCCTTCCTGTGGTTCTGGATGATGTCCGTTTTGCCTTTTAGTTGTAGTTTTGAAATTGTTGTGTGAGGCAGTAGTTCTTGGTTTCTCCTCTTTATTCTTAAATATGTTTTTATTGATTTTTAGAGATAGAGAAAGGAAAAGGGATAGAGATATAGAAACATCAGTGAGAGAGAAACATCATCAATCAGCTGCCTCCAGCCTACCCCTTCCTAGGGATCAAGCCTGAAAACCTGGGCATATACCCTGACTGGGAATCGAACCTTAGTCTCTTAGTTCCTGGGTCAATGCCCAACCACACCAGCTGGACTGAATGCCCTTTTAGATTGTGAAAACAATAGAAGATTAAAGTAATGTGATCTAAAAATAAACTTTTCTTGTGCTAAGTGAAGTAAGTCAGGCAGAAAAAGCCAAGAACCATATAATATTTGCTCATGTGGAATATAAAATTGAAACTCGTGGACACAGCACTGAGGTGGTTGCCAGAGAGAATAGGGGATTGATACGGGCCTAATGTATAGTGATAGAAGATGATGTGACTTTGGGTGGTGAGCACACAGTGAAACATACAGATCTTGTAACATAGAAGCCTACATCTGAAACCTATGTGATCCTATTAACCAGTGTCACCTCAATAAACTTAATAAAAGAGTAATAAATAAACTTTTTATTGAAATAATAGTTTTATGAATGCATGATGAAGACTCTGAAGAGGTGCTAAGCAAGAGTTTCTGTTAACTTATAATTGAGGATTTATTTAATTTCTATTTCTATAGCCTACTCTAATTATTGATATTTCCATTTTCAGATGTTGAAATATTTTGCAACATTTGAAGTATTTTTTGAAGAAAATCTCTCCAAACTATTTCTTCATTTCAAATCTTATAGTCTTACACCAGACATATACTTGATAGACTGGTAAGTGATAACTTATGAACATGAAATATAATAATCAAAAGGAAACATAGGGTAACTTTTTGTGTGTTTTAGGAACTAAAGTTAGCTCATGCAGAGGATCATAAATATAAAAAAACTCTTCCCTTACAAATAAAGAAACTCACATTTTTGTGAGGAGGCATTTGATTAAGAGCATGGACTCGGGGGTTGAAATCAGAACCTCTCAGTTTGTGTTTTAATTTCTTACAAAAGGGGAATGCCATATTTTGAGTTGTAGTGAGAGTGATTTACATGGATTATCTCATGCAATGCCTAGTTCATACTAAGCTTTCAACGTTAGTTGCTATATCTTGTTAACACACAAGGGCTTGTGATAGCTATTATAGTGTGGTATTTTTTTTAAACTGGGCTCTGTTTTTTTCAAGGCTTTGTCCAGCTTCTGACAGGAATGATGTCTTATTTAGGTGCTAATGTCTTTTTTCAACTTTACAATTCCAGCTTCTCTGTTTTAACTTAGAGGGTTTGCCCAAGACTTTGGTGAGCAGTAGCCGGTAGATTATAGAATGGCAGGTGAATTTTGCCAAAGAGATAGAGGAGTTGATCTTAAGATAGGTTAAGAGTGTGTGTGTGTGTGTGTGTGTATATATGTGAAACATTTAAACCTTAAATCCTAATCATTTAAATCAATAGGTTTATGTAAATTTTTAATATAGAAAAAGAAATAATTAATGGCATTGAGCAAATATGATATCTTCTCAGTTATTTGGGTTTCTTTTATTTAGACTTTTTTTTTTTTTTTTTAAGTTATTTTTCAGGTATTTTCTTTCATTCCCATTAGGAATGTTAGAGTTCCTTTGGATTATATCATGGGACCCAGAGGATCAAGATCAAATATTAAATTTGTAAAGAAGGGGAAAAAAATAACTTGGTTGTCAGCCTTGATGACTGTGAACATGAGGCACATCAAGGTTACAACTAATATAGGGAACAGAATGGAACTGATAATGAATGAATATCACATATTAGAAACTGCCTAGGCACTATATGTTTCTACTTTAAGAAGTAGACATGGATTTTTGTTTCACTGCCTCTGTTGAATTTATTATATACAAATCGTAGAATCAATTGTGTGGGGAAAAACAGGAATAAAAAAGTGGCAGTGCTAGTAAGTTTTGTTTGTTGTTGTTGTTGTTGTTGGAGAGTTTTTAGTTCCCTTTCTCAAGTTTCATCAGCCCTAAACTGTAAGACACAGTCTGTGTAAAAACTGTGTACTTTCTTTGCCAATGCAACTTTAAGGAGAAGTTCTCTAGCACCTATTCTCCCTACTTCCCCAACCAGAATGCCACCCTGAAGCACCACTGGATAATGAATTACATGATCAGACATTGTCAGCAAGGATGTGAAAAAAACCATTTTGGTGATTCTGTTGGAGCGTATACATTGCTCCAAAAGAAGTAGTAAGTAAAGTTTGGTTAAGGAGGAAAAAAAATAACCAGTGGATGTTTGTGGAAGGAGAAGAGAAAAGAGAGAAGTAAGACTTTATAATTTTGTATTTAGGGTACTAAAAGATGATACTTGGGTTTCTTCTACAATATAAAAACAATAACTAACTTTTATTGAATATTTCTTATGTGCCAGTCACTGTTCTAAAAACACTTTACATATATAAACCTCTTTATTTTTTAAAACAATCCTAAGATGTAGGTTACATTATCTTTTGTTTACTAATAAGGAAACAGGTACAACAAGAGTAAATAATCTTGCTCAAAGTAACACAACTAATAAGTTGCATATCTAAGATTCAGACTCAGACATTCTGGTTTCAGAGCCATACCCTTAACAGCTAGGCTGTTCTGCCACTCTAGTGTTGTATTGTGCCATGTCTCTACATAAGGTTGTAAATTCACATAATTTACTTACGTATTACTTAATTTTGTATTACTCAAGCTGTTTTCGAGAAGAAGCCGTATTTCATTTGCCTTTCTATCCCTAATTAAGCACTGTGTTGTTGTTGTTTTAATATAGAGATGCCTAATGAGTGAATGAATAAAATGAAAATTTTCAATGACTATTTTCCCCCCTAATTTTAGGATCTTCACCCTATATAGCAAATCACTACCACTTGATCTGGCATGTCGAGTTTGGGATGTATTTTGCAGAGATGGAGAAGAATTTTTATTTAGGACTGGATTAGGGATCCTGCGATTATATGAAGATATTCTCCTGCAGATGGATTTTATTCATATAGCACAGTTTCTAACTAAATTACCAGAAGATATTACATCAGAAAAGCTATTCAGCTGTATTGCAGCAATTCAGATGCAGAATAGCACCAAAAAATGGCCTCAGGTAGAGTGACATTTTCCCTACTTCTAATAGATGTGTTAAAACAATCAGTTGACTTCTTACAAAAAAAAAACAAAAAAAAAAAGTCATGTATTTCTCAAATGTTAGTGCTTAAATTTTTAAAAAAATCTTTTAAAAGTAATTCTTGACTTTGAAAGAGCAAGAGTTTAAAACAGATTGCTTCTTTTTCACCTCTCCAAATCTATGGATTTATTTTTCTGTAAATTCAGTAATATTTTATGATTTTAGTGAAGTACAACTTACAATAGTCAGTCTTTGCCAAAGCAAATATATTATTATTTTTGTATTTCAAATAGACAGCAATTATATTAAACACCTGTTATGTACTAAGGATTTGCAATAGAAGAAAATAATATATGATCCTGGCTTTTTAGATGCTTGGTCTTGTTAGGGAAGCAAACATTGGCAGTCTAAGTAACATAAAAGACAGTAAGTAGTATTATTTGCTTCATGAATGATAGACAATAGGCTAGGCATTATAAATAAGCTCAGTTTTATTGCTTATGAAAATGAAATGTAAGGATATTGGTCCATAAAATGTTCTGTTACCAAATAGTAATGTAAGACTACAGGATGGGGCAAAAGTATGTTTACAATTGTGAGAACACAAAATACAGAGTTTATTCTTGTTTTATTATATTATTTTCCATGTAAACAACTGTAACCCTACTTTGGCCCCAATCTGTATTTAACAAGTGATGAAAACTGAAAACTAAAATATATATCATAAAATTGGGTTGAAACAAAAGGATTTGAGAATGGCAGTCTCAAACTTAAGTGTTGATATACTGTAGTTATTTAATTCTCTTAAATCTACATGGTAGTGTTTTGAGGATTAATCTTTACTCTGTATAATTTCAGGTCTTTGCATCTGTAATGAAGGATATTAAAGAAGGAGACAAGAATAATAGTCCTACTCTGAAAAGCTAATCTTCAAAATTAACAAACTAATTGGAATATAACTGTCTTTTGATAAAAGTTTTTGTTTCCTATGTAAAAAGGATGGAAAAATCTAAAAGAATCAAGACATGGAAAACTGCTGATTTTGAATTCCATGGCTGAAGTAAATGAAATAAGTAACCTATTGACAGTATTAATTTTTTAAAAAAGTATTTTGTAGGGAGCATCATTTTACAAAAGAAAAAGTTTAAATGACTAGTTTATACTCCATAATTTGGAGTGAACAGTAATGCAATAAAAATTTTTTAACAGCTTTGAAGATACTTTAAACTTTACATCTTCTTTTTTTTTTTTTTTTTTTAATAGTCACCATATAAAAGCACTTTGGAGGTCAGAGCAGGATTGTTAAATACGACTTTAACTTCCAAAATACTATTTGAAATAAACACCTTAGTACAGATATTGTGTATCTCAAGTGCTGACCTTTTGAAGATTTTATAAACCAAGAATAAGCAACTTTGGTTGTAAATTATTTAAGTTACTGAAGTTGTTTATCTTCATTCACAGGTCAGGGCAAATCTTGGTTATATGGGAACTGGAAATACTTGGGAAGTTGATTTTCATGTTTTTCCACTGTATCATGTCTATTTGTTTCTTAAAGAGAATTTTTTTTCCCTTAAGTAATCCTATTAAAGAAATTTAGCCTTTCTGTTTATAGTTTAAAAACTTGTTCATCTAGTAATTTAAGAAAGCTAATTGGTAGAATCTTTGCACTTTAGTGGACTGAAGACTTGATTTGGGGAGTAAGTCCATAAATATAAATGAGATTTTTCCCCCCACTGGTAAAAGTAAAAAAGTATGAATTTTGACAGTTCTTGGAAAAACTTGAGATTTTTTTAGTTAAAATTCCTTCATTGTTTGTAGAAATAAAAATTTTTAATTTCAGTTTGAAATTTGAAATCTTAATATGTAACCAAGTCTATGACTTGTAAAATACTGTGCATAATTTTCTAATCAACGTAAATAAGAGTAAAAGATAAAGTGAACTTTTTCTAATGAGTCTAACTTTGATGGTAGAGTGGATAGACAAATTATTAATTATTGGTAAATTGACATTAAATTTATTATAATATGTTTAATTCTTATACCTAAAATAAATCACTTGAATATTATGAGTGATATATAATATGCTGTTTGGTTAATAGCATATATAGTTTGAAACAGCACAGCACACTGTTTCTGTTAGTGGTATATTGTCTTCAAACTAACGAACCTGAGGGTCTTGTTAGTGTTGTGACTGCCTTTTTAGGAGTATGGGACCAGATGTGCCCGGATGTTTTTACCCCATGGGGCATTCTAGCTTAGGGACCGCTGGTGGAGCCCTCAGAAGCTAGCTCCTGTCACAGAGCTTCCTTAGTGGAAGCTAGTGATGGTAGTGTAATAAAATATTGAGGGAGCACCCAGGGACTTATAAAAGGTTTTATAATAACACTTTGACTCTGGTAAATGCTTCTTTCACATTGGTGACCCTGACAGAGGGAATGTAAGCCCTGCAGCAATCTCATTGAGATTATTCTACCTGCCTGAGTTTAACCTTCCTTTTGTGTATTTCTTTCCTGAGTTGGACCTAAGTTACTGTATTTCTTTTTCTCATTTTTATTATTGTACAGTTTCTTTACCTTTCAAATATAAATGTATATATAAAATGTAAATATAAGGAATTCACTAAAAACCACTATTAACAAGTACTGTGTAAATAAAACTTGTAAGCAGAGTAATTACGTGAAATGAGTCTTCATTACTTTGGGGATATCTGGCTTATTTAATCACAGTTGGAGGGGGGGGAAAAAGGGAATACACTTTTTTGTTGCCAAATTTCTCTTCCAAGGGAGAGACTGACAGTACTGGCAGATAAAATATTGTATTGTATCATGCCTTGTACCTCCCATACAGACAGTATGGAGTTATTTACATAGTCAATGTATGAGAGTTTTTCTTTTGGTTAAAGTATATTTTCAATTAAAACATAACTTTTCCTATAGTCCCCAAGATACTGTAAAATTTAACATCGTGTTTCATTTAGTCTAATATTACATAAGTATTTAATTTGCCATGTCTAATATTACAAAATGAAACACCATGTTAAATTTCACAGTATCTTGGGAAAAGTTACATTTTAATTGAAAATATACTTTAACCAAAAGAAAACCTCTCATATATTGTCTATGTAAATAACTCCATATTGCCTGTTTGGGAGGTACAAGGCATGATACAATATATATATATATATATTTCTACTTAATCAATATGTGTATTTCTCACTTAATTGTCCTTTTAGCCCAGGTTTATGTTGTTTAAGTGCTATTAGAGGAACCCATTAACTATCAAAGTTTTCAGAAGTCACATAACATAGTCATAGTTTTTGCTGATTTATTCTGCATTGATGACCTTCATATAATTTAATTGAGTATATTTGACTTACAAAAGTTAGGTAATATTTGCAAAAAGACATTGAGATTTTCAAAGCCTCTGACTTGAAGATAATGACTTTCATTGTAACTTAGGAATTAATGTTATCTTCATCTAGAGAAGTCAACATATTAGAGTCTATACTGTTGGACGTTATAATTCTAAGTCATATAATCATGGAATAATTCACATAGTTTCATAATGCCATATGATTTATTTTTATTTTTTCATAACCTATTTTTGTTTAGATAAAACTATTTTGTATTCCAGGAGTATATTCAAATACCAGAGATTGGTATAAAAGAGGCAAAAAATATGTGAGGTAGTATTGAAAAATTAGATTTTAATTTGCCATGACTAGTTCACATAGTGTCAGTCTTGCCTCTGGGGGAAAAATTGATTTTTGTATCAAATCTATATTGTTTTGATATTGTCAGAGCAGTACCTAAAATATGAATTCCCAAATGTAGTAAAGTTTAATTAATTAGAACTTCACTGCTTCATAACATGTAAAGATAAAAATTAAAGTTTTTAAAAATATTTCAGGGAAAGTAGCTACTTCAGAGAGAGAAGAAAGCCTTGGCCTTTAGATATATATAATATTATATATATCTAATATATGATATATATATATTATAATATATATATGGTATGTTTTTATTGATGTCAGAGAGGGAGAAACATCAGTGATGAGATCATCCATTGGCTGCCTCCTGCATGCCCCCTGCTGGGGATGGAGCCTGAAAACTAGGCATGTGCCCTGACTTGGAATCAAACCAGGACCTCCTGTTGATGGGTCCACACACTACCACTGAGCATATTTTTTTATTATTATTTTTTAAACACTCCAGATTCTTTTTTTTTTTTTTTTAAATATATTTTATTGCTATTTTACAGAGAGGAGGAAGAAAGAAAGAGAGCTAGAAACGTCGATGAGAGAGAAACATCGACCAGCTGCCTCTTGCACATCCTGTATCGGGGATGTGCCCGCAACCAATGTACATGCCCTTGACCGGAATCGAACCTGGGACCTTTCAGTCCACAGACCAACGCTCTACCACTAAGCCAAACCAGTTTCAGCCTGAGCATATTTTTTAAATCGGAGGACATGCCCATTGATTATTGAGGAAGGGAGGGGGAGAGGGAGGGGAAGAGGGAGAGAGAGGGGGAGAAAAAGGGAGGGAGGGAGGGGGGGGGAGGACAATGGGGGGTGGGGAGGGTGGGGTGGGAACCTGGTGGAGGGGGGAAGAAATAAGGAACCTTTGTAATAATATGAACAATAAAGATTGATTAAAAAAAAAAAAAGTCACCCCCTTAGAGAAAACATCTAGATCTCAGTTTGTTTTTTCCAACAACTACCGGCTGACCCTATGCAGGGCTCCAGGCCTAGAAAAGCAGCAAAACCACCAGGACCGGCTGCAGTGACTTAACAACCCACTGCCCTGGCACTGACCAATCAGTAAAGGCCACACCGGAAAGAACACACCTGGAAAACTGATGAATATTCTGCTAAAACCTTTTCGAGACCTCCCCTAAGATTCCCGTCTGAAAAGAAAGTCCTCTAGACAAAGGACCCAGCACTCGCCCTCCCTCTGGCAAGCAGCCTGAATCCTTTTTTCCCTCTTCTTCCCCCACAGACAGACAATCTCCGAAACTCTTCTGAGTCCCACCAGGGAGCACAATAGGCAGCAACAACTCATCCCAGGCTAATCCCCTGAATCTGTCCTCAATGCCCCTTTTTCTCTGACTTCCCAGAGAGCTAAGGCAGCCCAGCCTAGCATTTTCCTGTTGCTTCTATGGTAGGCCCTTTCTCGTTTTACTGACCCCAGCTTTATTTATTTTTAATATATTTCATTGATTTTTTTTTTACAGAGAGGAAAGGAAAGAGATGGTTAGAAACATCTATGAGAGAGAAACATCCATCAGCTGCTTCCTGCACACCTCCTACTGGGGATGTGCCTGCAACCAAGGTACATGCCCTTGACCGGAATCCAATCTGGGACCCTTCAGAGCAGGCAGACTAACCACTGAGCCAAACCAGCTAAGGCTGACCCCAGCTTTAATAAACATATGCTCATAGTCACCTGGACTTGTGTTATGAAATTTTTCCTACACAAAGTCAAGAATCCACCCACTACCTGCTGACCCTAGACAAACCCACACAGAGTCAGGTCCCTGTCCAGTAACAGTACTATCACTAGCTGACAATGTTTTCTATAGTTGTTTTGTATTGTTTCCACTACAGTCTAAACTCAGGTCAGAAACACTGGTTTGTTTGGTTTTTAAACCGCTGAATTGCTAGTGCCCAATATATTGTAGTACTGGGCACTCACTACCAATGATGGTAATGGATGAGTAGGCTATTATTTTGGCCATTCCTCAGTGAACTTTCCCTTTAGTTAAAGTATTTCTATTAGAGAGATTATGCACTTAGCCAGAAAGAAGTTCAACTCAAATATTTAAAGGTTGAGTAGAACAGAATGAAATAGGAATTGGAAGGATCTGGTATTTGAAGGAAGAAGTGTTTTTCCTAAAGGAATGGTTGATAGTTTTATATGGCAATGAGGTTGAGATGAGGACTATGAGATGTACATTAAACGTAGCATCTTGTAGATCAGCGGTCGCCAACTAGCCACTGGTGGTCTGTGAAGTCCGAAAGGTTGGTGACCACTGGTTTAAGGAAATCTTTGGAGCAGCGCTCACCAACTGGTGGTCTGTGAACCACTGGTGGTCCATGAGGTCAAAGGTTGGCAAATACTGATGTGGATCAGTGATTTCCTTATTTACCTCTGTGTGTAGTGAGTGGGGTGGCCAGATGTGATTGAAGAATCAGTGGGAGGAAGGGGAATTAAAAATTGCTAATGTAGGTAATTGTAAAGTTAGCTGTAAAAGGGAACGGAGTAGGTAGTAAATAGCTGGTGGGAATAAAGGAGGTTGTCTCTTTGTTTTTCAAGATGGAAGAGTTTTGAATATTTAAATGTGAATAGAAAGTATTCGGTAAAGGCTTAAATAGGGAAAGGGATAATGTGTCATCTGAGATTCTTGCATAAGCTGTAAGGAAATGGATCCAGAGCAAAACTGGAGGGACTGTGGAAAAGATGTTCAGACGCAGGTAGATTTGTAAATTTGGTTTTGAGAATCTGAAAGGAAAGTCTGCCTGGTAAATATTGTTTAGTTTGTGAGGTAGGCAGAAAGTGGAGTCATCTAATTTAAGCAAGAGGGAGCTGTCGTGTGTGTGTGTGTGTGTGTGTGTGTGTGTGTTTCACTTCTATGATTGGATGGGTGGTGAAGTCACTGATATGAAAATTATTTTTAGAAGAGGAAGACATAAGTGTTTGAAAAGTCAGGGAGGAAGAAATTTTGGAGGATAGTTTGATGAAGGTAAAAAATCTTATGTAGCCCTGGCCGGAGTGGCTCAGTTGGTTGGGATGCTGCCCGTGCACCAAAAGGTGGGGAATTGGAATCCAGATCAGGGCACATGTCCAGGTTCCAGATTCTATCCCAGTTCGGGTGCATGCGGGAGGCAGGCAATCAATGTTTCTTACAGTGATGTTTCTCTCTTCCCCTTTTTCTCTCTGAAATAAAATTTCTTTTTTAAAGAAAAACAATCTTACTTAAGAGTGAGACTGACACCTAATTGTATTTGATTAGAAGGAGGTAGGATTTAAGAGTAATTGTTGAGATTAACATTTTATCTTAATACTGGGCAAGCCAATTTTTCTCTGAGCATCCGGTTTTTTCATGACAATGTAGGAATAAAAGTAATCTGCTAATCTCCACGTGTTTTGAAGGCTGCTGAAGATGGTTATGATTGCTGTACATTGTAAATTCTTGAACTTTGTACAAATAGTTATTAAAGTTGTTGTAGTCAGAAATGGTATGGCAGGCACGCCACAAATTCTGAGGTGGGGGGAGGGAAAGAGGAACTTGTTGAAAGGGACTGCAGACTACAAGGGGGGAGGTGCTTGAAGGCTGGAAAAAAAAACACAAAAAGACAAGCCCTGCGCTTTCCTATAGGCGCCCACGCTAATTATTGGTTATTGAATTACGGGATCTTTATTACTGGTCACAACGCTCGATTTATCACTGCATCCAGGTCTCCCTTACCCTGAAACAACTTTCTTGAATTCCACCGTTATCTTAATTTACTAGTTTTCTCTCCCATTCCACTCACAAAAGAGCCCTTTTCTTGTTTATTTCGGGGAATTTTAACTCTAAATGTGAACGGCGGGCGAGCTTGGCAATACGTGTTTGACACCCTCACCTGGGTGCTCACCTTTGGGACCTAAGGACCTTCGGCCGGCGGGGCTTAATCCCAGCAGCCAGGGGGACAGGTGTCTTGCAAACGGCTAAGAGCGCTACCCAGTACCCTCCGGTGCGGGAGGAAACAGGGCTCTCCGTGGTGGGCAGGCGCGCCCGGTGCCACGGAGCTAGCCGAACGCCGACTTGTGCAGCGGAACCCAGCCGCCGAGGGACACCGGTCCCAGGAAACGCCAACCAGCACCCAGGTGCATCTTCTGCGCCAAATCTCGCGCCGGCGGGGGCGGGGGTGGGGGGGGCGGGGACGAGGAGCGCGAAGTATCGCGAGATGACGGTGTTTTCCCGC